TTCCAAAACAATACAATAAGGCGTAATCAGTCCTAACTGCAAGTCTTGAGTTTTTTTAACAGGGTATTATAACAGGGTATTAATGATTCAAACTTGGGTTGAACCCGGTCATCAATCGGTACACCCAGTTTTCGTTTCCGGTTTATGACTGATCCTCGGTCTTTGGTGAACCAAAACCGGAATTTTGACATAATTTTTCACAAGGTTATCCTATTTTTTGAAATGGTTGGCCGTATACTTTTGTGGTGTAGTGTATTTAATCCATTCAAGCCATCTTTTTTTCTCCTCACGCCTACCATCCTTAATTTCTCATTTGTTTCACCGATCAGTAGGGGTATATAGCCGGAGCCTCTTAAAAACTCGGGAACAAGACTTTACCCCATGACCAAAATCAAAAAACCCAAGAACATTCTTGAGTCAAAACTCCGATAAGTTTAAAATCTTTGAATATATTCTAAAAATAGAAAAGTATGTAATTTAGTTTGTTTTTATCAATTTTTATAATAACTTTTATCAAAAATATATCCAAATATAAGTTTAAAATGAACTATTTAAATCTTATTCTAATATTTTCCCCATTTTATTCCTCATAATTTTTAAAATTTAAGTCGTAAGTGGGGGAGGTATTATGTGGAGTGATTGGTATAGCTAGGAATATTCAAAATTATTATTGAAAAATGTTTATCCCGAATATATATAAAGTTATAATTACACCATTTAAGATTAGGATTGTCGGTTTCACTAAATTTTTCGGTTATCCGAAACTGAACTGAAATTTTTGGTGAATAAAATGACATTATTTACAAGAGGGGGAATAATAGTGCTCGGCAAAATCATTTTTTCCGGGTCCAGAAACCGGATTTCGTTTAAATTGTCCTCAGGCTGACATTATCAGCTTGCAGTTTACCGACTTTACTTTCACAAATCGTCTCAGAATTATATAACTTCATTGTTGGCTTTTCCCAACCACCAAATGGATAGTCGTACTCATTATAATCATCAAAATTGTTTTGCCCATCCAGACGGAAGTAAATAAGCGGAGTATTGTTATATTTTCTAGTATTTCCTGTAATTTCGTGCCAATTATATTTATCCGTGGTAAATCCAAATGGTTGGTTTCTTTCTTTTAGAGTGCTGACCATTTCCTTAAAATTATTACTTTACTACATAACAAGTGACACTCACAAACTATTTCCAAAAATTTCGTAGTTTAGAGTAGAGTATGTCCGAGTCGAGTGATTTCGAGTACACTCGACTCGATCGCTCGGGTTTTTCTTCTTTACTCGGGCTCGGAACTCGGGACTCGGAAACTTCATACTCGACGTACTCTAGTTTAGAGAAAGGTTTTCCAGAGTAGGCTTAGAGCCGGGATTTTTTAAGAAAGACTACTGTGTGATACACTTTAATTTATTTAATTTAAATTTGTTTATTTTTATTTATTTTTGGCGTTTTGTTTTAATTTTATGTCCCTCCCTCTTTTTTTCTCTTTGTTGACCTTTCCCTATATAAATCCTTTCCCTCTCCCCAAATGCGTTCAGTTCAGTCTAAGTTCATTCATATATTTTGTTAGTAAAAGGAAAAATAAAATATATTTATTTCTTTTGATATTTATTTAAATTAGTGTGGACTCCTTTTCGTTATTACTTGGCGCTCCTGGTATTGAAAGTAAGTCAATCAGCGTCGTGGTGATTATTTTGGAAAAACTATATTTTGATTCTCTGTGGGTCAAAATCTAGTTTTCGACTTAAACTTTGGAAAATTATCCCCGGTGGATAATCAACAAATTTTTAAAACCTTCTCGGTGAAGGTCAACTGGTGTTTTTTTTGGCTTTGGTTTTGGAAAATTATCCTCGGCGGATAATCGACATTTTGTTTAACCTTCTCGGTGAAGGTCTATTGATTTTTTGGCTTGTTCTTTTGGAAAAATTATCCTCTGTGGGTAATCGACATTTTTTTGAACCTTCTCGGTGGAGGTCATCTTTGTTTTTGGCTTGTGGTTTGAAAAATTATCCTCTGTGGGTAATCTTCAATTTTCTCTAAAACCTTCTCTGTGAAGGTCATCAAAATTTTCTCACAAAATGAATGAACACCCAATCAATAATGCACAACTTGGGCAATCTTTCAATCAATTCTATATGTTTGGGCACCCCTCTTTTCCTCAACAAATGATGTACAATCCCTACTCTTTTATGCCACCACAACAAATTCAGCCATTCGACCAAAACGTCACTTTTGATCCCGGAAACATGTCACAAGCTGACATTGAAAATCTACTGTTGGAAACGATTCCCAATTTAGACGGAACCGAAGGAGATTTTGGGATAAGAAAATTCTTCAAGAAATTCGACCTTGCTTTAGAAGAATGGTCGGAGAAGAAGAAAATTTTTGCCCTAAAATCCAAGTTGAATGGTAAGGCAAAAAGTTGCTTCATTCTGGCAATTAAGTCCAAACTCTACAATTATCAAGCGATTAAGAATTTCATCCTTTGCAAACTCCTTCCATCTGAGTGCAAATTTGAGGAGCCAATCGATTCAATTAAAAAGAGAACCGACTCAAAGCAATTGGAAAAGACTGTGAAAACTGAAAAACTTCCACCAAAATCTAATTGTCAAAAGATTCAGCCAACATCGCTCAACAAAATAAATATTCCGTTTGAAAAGACTCCTTATCCTTCTGAAGTCTTGGAATTTTTTGAAGGTCCTAAAGAAACAAATCCGTCAAAATTCGAAAAAGAATCTAATTTGGTTAGAGAAGTGAAAACTTCTGTCTCAACAGATTTTAACATCAAAAAGACAATTAAGGTTGAAATTGCTAAAAATAATTTTGAATTGGATCTTGAAAGGGAGAATGATTTTGAGCTCCCTATGAATCTATTTGAGGATGATAAAGACTTTAAAATGGTTGACGAATTGAAAAATTCTGTCCCAACGAATTTACCTAAAAAGGTCATCAAGAAGGAATCTACGAAAGAGAATTCGGAATTGATTTTTGAAAAGGAAGCTGACTTCGATCTTCCGATGAATTTATTTGAAGAAGAGGAAAAGAATAAATTTGAAGAAGAAGGTGATTTTTTTGAAAAAGAACAGGGTGAGTCGGAAATTATTGAGGACATTGGCGTTGGAAACATAGTTCAATGGCCTGAAGAAAAGGAACCTGTCGAGAAAGATTTTGAGAAATTAAAGAAGGAAAAGGCCAACGAACTAGGTCGCATGAAAATTGATTTTGACTTCCACAGTCAACAAAATTCTCTCGACTTTAAAAAGAAAAATTTTGGGAATTTTGAAGAAGATTTGGAACCTAGTATTGAGGAAAATTTTAAGGAACCAAGAAAAGAGAAAGCAAGGGACTTAGGTCGTATGAAAATTGTTCTTGATTTCTGCAATAAAGAAGATGTTTTGGAATTTAAAAGTAAAGATTTTGAAAATTTTGGCAAGGAATCTGTGCCACTGAAAGAATATATTGGAAAAGAAAATTTTAGTGAATGTGGAAAATTTTCTTCTGATAAGATTTTGAAATTCTCCAAATCAAGAAAAAGTTTTTGTGTGAAAGCTAAGAAAACTTTGAAGAGAACTATGAAAACTGAGAATTTTGAGAAAATTTTTAAATCAAATGTGTTGAAACAATTTGAGGAATATTCTTTTTCTAAGAAATATTCCATGCTGAAAAGGATTAACTCTAAGATGAAGCTTCTCAAAATTTCTGTTTTGGAAAAAATTAATGCTAAGATGAAGAAGGGAAAGAAACAAGAAAAATTTGGATGGAAGAAAAGAAAAATCAAGGGACGATTTTTCCATGGAGTTCGGAGGCGTCTTAGCTTGAAAGACATGATCACGCTGATCAGAGCCTCTAGGAGATTCAGGAATTTTCTAAAAGAGAAAGACCGAAAAATGCTTGACATGAGATCAAAGAAAAACTTGCAATTTGTCTCGGTGACAAAGCAAGTTATCCAGACATCCCTAATGGCAATGTTTTTCATCGATTTGACTAAGGTACCCATCAAAACAAGTGAATTTAAACCGGTCTCGGCGACCTGGAGTTTTAAATACTGTATTCCACTAGCATCCTTACACGACTACCGACCGAATGAACTTTTTCAAGATATTGACTTCACTTTCAACCACCCAAAACCTTTCGAAGAAATCGGCAAGGGACGCCTCAATTTTAAAGGGATGGGATGTGATACACTTTAATTTATTTAATTTAAATTTGTTTATTTTTATTTATTTTTGGCGTTTTGTTTTAATTTTATGTCCCTCCCTCTTTTTTTCTCTTTGTTGACCTTTCCCTATATAAATCCTTTCCCTCTCCCCAAATGCGTTCAGTTCAGTCTAAGTTCATTCATATATTTTGTTAGTAAAAGGAAAAATAAAATATATTTATTTCTTTTGATATTTATTTAAATTAGTGTGGACTCCTTTTCGTTATTACTACTGAGGCAACTACTAACTAAGGAGAGAATTCGAGTTCTGGTTCAATTATTAAACAAATTTAAAAAATATCCTTACATCAATAAATTCAATATTTTCAGTTTTGTTATCTTTATTCCATCCACTAAATTTTACACAGCTAATTAAACCTTGAATAGCTAGCCAAACCCTTCCAACTTTTGCATTATTTTTATCTAAATGATCGAGGATGTGTGTAATAAATTCTCTGAAATAAATGTAAAATACGATCCAGTGTACCAAAAGTAATTTGGATTAACTCGGAGTTTAAATTAATTTGGGACTAAATATATTTCCCGGAAAATTGATTACCCGCGAGAGTGATCAACATTGAAATTGATCAATTGGGAGTTGAAAAACAATTTTTTATCACTTTGATTTCAGTTTTAGATAAGATTCGTTTTTTCACTTGGTGACCAAAATTCCGGTACCCTCCCGACTCGAATTCCCAAGTTTTTGGCCTCTCAATCCCGACTCCCGAGGTCATTTCCCGACCCGACTCCCGTTTTCCGAGTTTTTTCTTCTCCCGAACATCACTAAAATATATTTACAAATTTACCTAGCATCTCCACATAATTTGTACTCAGAAGAAGGTTTTACACATGGAGCAATATAAATATCTACATTTTCAAATCCTGCTGCTCTAGCATTTATTATATTTATTTCTGCATCTAAATCAACTTCTCCAGTATTATAATTATTAGCCTCAACAATAACAAATTCTTTTGAATATTTTTCTTTTAAACATTTGAATGTTGAAACTCTAAATATTCTAATTAAAAGAAATATAAAAATAATTTTTACCTATACCATTTTTCCAATACAACAACTCCTTCACTTGTCTCGACAATTTGAAAAATTGTGAAAAATAAAATGGACTTGAATATAAGCAACAAATAAATATTGCTCATTCTGAATTCTTTTAAATTTTTTTTAGAAATAAAAACAAAATACCTAGATTTTTTCTTTTTATTAATTCTATTTAGGTTTATTTTTAATGAAATGCTTTAGCGATATAGCGAACTGAAACCGCGACGAAGGTAAAATGATTAATTAGTAAAATATTTTTGTAATGCTAAAGTACAAAGTTTTAAAAATTAAATAAAAAAGTTAAAACTTCCATACGCTATAATCAGGATATAAGACCTGAAATTGGAGCTCTAAATCCAATTTCATGCGCCTACGAACTCGAAAAAAAGCTATTTATTGTCTTCTACAGTAAGGTTGGCGGATATTTGGAAATCTTCTGATCCGATATCCGAACCGAAAATTTCGGATATCCTGTCTTTTTTCGGATCCGGATATCCGGACTGCGGATTTTTTAGAACCAGTGTTGCAGATTACCGTCTCAAGATAATACCCCTTCATCACCGAAAAATAATAATTAAAAAATTATTGAATTGAATGAACATATTTTCTAAAAATTGAAAAGATTTTAGTTGATAGAAACGTCATTCAATTAGAATAAATACGGTAAATAAAGCATAAGAATTAGAAAGGTTTTTTGTTCCTCATACTTTTAAGGTTTTAATTAATTTTTTGAAAATTTTTTGAGTAAGTTGGAAATATTTAAAATAATGTATATTAAAGCTTAAATTAAAATATGCAAATAAACAAAAGGTAAAAAATTTACTAGAAATGCTCCATATATAAAATTACATTTTGTATTAACCTTAAGTTTACATTTTCTCTCACAAACAAACCTAATCTATAAAAAGTATTTTTCTAATTTTTGGGAAGGGAGTTCACTATGAACTCCTGTAATAATTTCATATTTCTTAAAAGATGATTTTTTGTGTATTTTATTTAGATCCGGCTGTCAGGATTAAAATACGATATCGAAATTTAAAAAAATTTTTAATATCGATAACAATAAATTTTGAACCGATCTATTCTGTCTAACCTACATTTCGAGATTTTTCTAAATTTTCATTAAAAATTTGTATATTAAAATAAAAGAGAAAAGCGTAAGATTAATTACAAAATTTTTTGCATATTTTCAATATAAATATGTAACAGATAATAGAAATTGAACAATAGCATGTACATATAATTAATACAAAAATTAAAACAAAAGTAAAAAATGTTTAATATATTAAATTACATTTTATATTTATTATAAATCATACAAAGATTGGCACTTATCTGTCAATTTTTAGAAATGGCGAATTTTATATTGAACTGCTCGATTTGTGTATTTGAAGGATTGTGTTGGAATTAAGTGCCAACATGCCTTGTCGATTCGGATTTTTCGAAAAATTTGAATATAGATATAGAAAATTTTTGAATGGGATTTTAAAAAACTTTTTAAAACTTTTTTTAAAAAGTTTTTAAAGAGAAATTAGACTAAATAGAGGGAAACAAACGCTCCAAAAGTTAATTAAAAAATTATTAGATTTCACAATAGTCAATAAATTTTTCAATAAATAAAATTTTATTTTTGCTAATAATTCAAGTCATGAGCTTTGCTAAATTAATTTTTGTTTTTAATTGAATAAACAAAAATAATAAATTTTAGCAAAAAATTGCCGTTTTAAATACAAAAATAGAAAATGTACCCTTTCAAAACTCAATTTTTCGATTAAAATACCCAGTTGTTTAAATATTATTAATAAATTTTGTATCTGATGTTTGTGGGGAATTCTTAAAGTAAAAAGTACATATTAGACAATATAAATACAGTTAGGGGGAGTTAGGTAATAAATCATTTTAATTAATTAAATCTTCCCTTGAATTCTTAATATATTTTTTTATTTTAAAGTAAGAGCGAGATAAAAGTTTAATACCGGGCAGGCTTAGATCCTGCGACCTCCTAGCAGTTATTGATAGGCGCTTTCACTCACCACGTACAGGTGCTCTACTAACTGAGCTACCGGGACGGTACTTTCACCTTCTTTTTTAATAGATCCAGCTGGATCCTTCTCTTCCTTACATTAAAAATATTTTTGGAGGAATTATTAATTATAGAAAAATTTTATTCCCTAATCAAGAAAATATTAGACAGCCTTTTACATTTTTCTTTATCAATTTATAGGCAATTTGACTGAAATTGGGTGCTCTTTTTAATTCATATCGAACTGGATTTTCTTACAAACTGACTGATTTATCTAATTGCTCGAGTTAATTATTCCCTACAATTAAAAAAATAAAGACAAACTAAAAAATTTTAAACAGGAATCTTACATAACTGTAGGTATTTGCAGATCGAGAAAATCCTTGATGATAGATCGGTAGGGATTTTCTGGGTACTAGATTAGTTTATGGGCAGTCTTAGGTGTCCATATGCCTCAATTGAGTGAGTCACAATCGACGGATAAAAAATTAAAATCAAAAAGAGATTTGGGGTTTAAAAATTTTTAAATTTCCCATGCGGGCGTTAAAAACAAGTTTTTGGCCTTTTAAAACATTGGGTTTGAAATATTTCTTCCATGACTTGTCCAATCACTTGGCTAAGGGACAAGTCTTCTAAAATCTTTATCTAGTGCTTCATATTTATTAATTTACTAGCAATTTAAACATTTTTAATTTGCAAACTAATTATTTTTAAATTTTTATTTTATTTTGATTCAAATAGAAATTTTTTTTCGATCATCCCATATTACAACATTTTTATTATTTTAATTGCCAATTTAAGAATTTAAATTAAAAAATGTTTTCCTCCCCAACAAAAATTTGCTTGCTTTTTCTTTCAATTTTTATATTATTCCAATTAAACAATTGTGAAGGGTTATGTGTTGGTAAAGGATATGTTTGTGGTAGTGGTGGACGTCAATGTTGTGACAAATTAATTTGTAACGGAGGTGAATTTTGTATACGAGATAATGATTTATAAATAACGAGAAATCGTCTTGAAACGAAATTTAATTATGTATATTTATATTTTTAGGTTCATGTGATGATTGCCCTCCTTTAGGAGCACCTTGTACTGAGGATATTAACTGTTGTGCAGGCCAAAGCTGTCAACGTAAATTTTGGATATTTGAAATAATTAATTAAATATAGGGAGAAAAATGTAGATAAATGTGGTATTATTTATAGACCCCGGGAGAAATGAGATATTATTTATAGAGCCCGGAAAATAACGTAATACCGATGATAATTGTCGGTATTTATCGGCAATCGTCATGGCAGTACGGTACGGAAAATGAAATAAAGAACGATATAAATTTTCAGTTTTTCGATATTTATCGTATTTGGATCGGTATTGCGTTAAGGAATACTGTTAGGTAGGGTTGGTCTCCGACGGGGGGAGGCCACGGGAAAGGGTCTCGGGGAGGCAGCGCAATGGGGGAGGGCGGGGACGGGGAAAATTTTTTCTTTTTTACGAGGGGGGGGGGGGGGCGGAGGAAAAATTTTTACGGGAAACGAGAATTTTCAACTGGGACGGGGAATTTTCAAAAAATGTCTCAAATTCCCCGACTTTTGGGGACGGGGACCAACCTTACTCTTAGTTATAAAATTCCGGGCTTTTGCAATATCAGAAAATGAAACGTCATTATTGTAGCTCTGTACCAAAATTATAATTCCAGCCCTATTTATGTACCAGGGCTGTCCAATACCAAAAATTTTCCAAGACTTAAGACCAAGAGCCTTGGACAGCTCTATTATGTACCTATATACTTTTAGACTCACAATGTCATACCTGTTTGGGTAAAGGAGCAACATGTGAGCCGAAAAATAATCCGAAAAATGATAGATGTTGTGGATTTTGTGTTAAAGGAATTAATCGTTGTAAGTGAAAATGAAAAAAATGTTGTGGAGTGAGAGGAGATGTTTATAGTATTTTCCAAACGAAGAACGTTTTTTACTTTCTTTTTCAAATTTGGCTGTTAAATCCTTTTCTTTTTCTTTAAAATCTATTATCTTTAATGCTTTATCAATGCTTTAATTATATTAATTAATGCTTTATTATATTAATTTAAACGAATTTTTTAAATAAAACATGGGATAATAAACGATTTTTTAAATTGAAATGTAAGCCAGATCCCTCTTATAACCAGTGCTACCTGATTTTGTATAAAAAACAAATATACCTACTACACTTTATTATACACAATTACAAAATAGACTATAATATAATATACTGTATTTACTATAATAGAGCTCAATAAGGTGTCCTCAAGCATGGGGCTGGTTGAGCTGTACTAGAGAGTGGAGCTCTAATTCAGGGTGTGCAGAGCTCTAATCGGGGTGTGAGAGCTCTAAGCTCTAATTCACCCAATATTCTGGACTCATACTTGAGGCATCGCCTCTTGAGACTCTACTAAACCGTACATAACCTATCAGATCAAGCAACATAAATTCTTTCTCGGCCCAGTAAAAGCTTTACTATATCAAATAAATTTTATCATAATTTTATAAAGCAAGAGGATTTTTCTTTAATTTTTTATCGGAATATATATCAGTAACATTTGCTCCACAAATTTCTTCATCTTCATATCCCTTCATTGTAGGCCTTCTCCAACCACCAAATGGATAACCATGCTCATAATAATCATTAAAATTGTTTTTACTATCCATATGAAAATATAAAAGTGGAATATTATTATAATCTTTAGTATTTCCTGTAATCTCTTGCCAATGATTTTTACGTGCGATAAATCCAAATAATTGGTTTCTTTCTTTTAAAGTGTTAACCATGCCCTTAAATTAAAAAATTTTAAAAGGGATATCGACGGTAAAAAAATTTTTTAGACCTCAATAAACTCGACATTTGACGCCTTGTTATCTTTATCCCATCCATTTGCCTCGACAATATACAACCAAACTCTTCCAAATTTTACATTAATTCTATTTAAATAATCGAGTACGGATGTAATTGATGCGCTTAATTAATAAAAATTCCAAATTAATAAAAATCTAAGCCAAAAGCTTGCTCATCCTGTTCATATGCCCAAGAGATTGGGTTCTT